TGTGTCACCCACTGTTGTAGTCAGCGACGTTACTACTGAGCTGTTTGACTTACATTTCTTGCTTTTCGGTGCTCATCAGGAAGGCGTATTCCCCAACCACGAAACCTTAGTCAAGTAGGGCTTTCTGCCGATTTTCTCCAACTAACTAACACCTAAGTGCACCGCGATGCTGGCCTGATGGCAACAGTGGAATATGATTGCTGTAGAATTCGTTCACCACTTAGGACTCGACGACATGAAATTGGTTACAGTCATTATTGTATGTTTAAAGTATGCTTTGTGTTATTGGTTTTGGGCATGATCCTCAGATAACATGGATTTTTTTTAAGAAACCAGTCGATTCCTTATTATCCAACTTCTTACAGTCGTGAAGTCATTTGATTTGAATAAATTTCTGACTCCATATATGGAATATCAAATTGGGGTACCGCTGTTTCTTATGTATATGTGAATATATACTTTGGAGTGTTTTTGAGAAAAGAGTTGATAAATAACCTTCTGAAGTACAAATGAGTCATCTTCCTCATCATCTACTTATTTTTATATATAGGTTTCTCATAAGGAAAACGGGTTGTTAATTCACTGATTCCGTAACCGTCAGGATGAAAAGGAAAGGAAAGGGATACATATTAACGGAAATATGTAAGTTGTTATTCATCGTAGACTGACATCAGTTGGAGGAACAAAGGAAACTGGGAGCACTGGACAGCTGTTTCGTCCTAGTATGGGACTCCTCAGCAGTGCGCACCCACGACCCCACCAGCAGGGATCGAACCCGCGACCTTCAGGTTCCGCGGCCAGCGCGTTACTATTGAGCCACTGGGTCAGAATCCAATGGTCCATATTTCCAACTTCTGTTAGCTCACGATATATAGCGCAACCGCCATCCAATGTCATCGCTGAGTCGGAAATATGTAACGAAAAGGAGATGTAATATGAGCTGAAGGGGGGAAAGGGTCCTTCGTGAACAAGCTATACTCCATTAGGTGAGAAGATGAAATCAAATGGAGCCAGATGTTAGTTCGTTTAGTCTTGTAGACTGAGTAATGAGGTTGTGCAAATCTCTTCTCAGTGCAACATTCGGTTTGTATAGGTGCATAGGAATATTTTGTGTTATATGTAGCGAGTGAATATGTAAACTATGCTAAATATGTATAAAAGCCTTGCTTGTGTTCACTATGTGGCCACTGTCTACCAAATGTGCAAACTGTGAGATTTCTGTTGTCTTTATCTGTCCTTTACTGAGCTATTTTGGATAGTTTTCAGACATTCTACGGGTCAGCCTACCTTATTGCACTTACACTTCTCTGAATAGCTCTTGGCTAATGACATAGCCGTTGGCTTAACTTTCGTCTTCTTCATAGGCTTGATCATGAAATCAGAAGGACATCCATTCTTAACAAACAGGCTACGTATAATATCAGGTTCCTCTCCTATGGTTTCATCATAGCAAATAGCTTTTACAAGATGGCGTCGGCGAGATATCTGACTATCTATGAAAGCACGAGTATACTGAGCTGCTATAGTCCATTTTGTCCTGCTTCACGGCTGTGCGACATAGCTACTAAAAGTAGATATGAAGCGATTACAGGTTTCTGGTCATTAGTAGCTTCGTAGCATTGTTCGCGTTTCGTGGAATCGCTGCGTAAGCAATATTGAGGTCAGGAGAAGAGTATTAGACAAGACAGGCCGGCTAGTTGGTTGATGAAATTGCGAACGTTAGTCGACTGAGATGGCCTAGACATGTGCTATGCATGCCGAGTCACCACCCCCATTTCGATTTACCATGCTGGGCGAAATCAGATTAGGTTGGAAGAGAGTTCAGGGGGTCAAACCAAGACATGGCATCAATCGGTGAAGTCTCTTACTGTTGCCTTAAGCCGAATAAGGAGATGTAAACTCACTGTTTGAGGAATGCGTGACGAATGGAATCAGTGATTGAGAACTGTTGGTGACACATTCGTGCAGTAGGTAATGAGCTACACCTATTGTATGGGGGCTGTAAGTAATCCTTTATGGCTGCCCGAACCGCAGTAGGCGGAATGGAGTTCGAACCTGTGACCCCACTGTTTAATAGTCATCTCCTTAAACCACTTGACTACAGCTCCCGGCGTACAGTAGCGTCTAATTTCAGTTAGTTTTTGCTTTTCTCACCTAATAGACAATAGTTTGTTTGTAAAGCACCATCTCACTTCAGTTCATATTATCTGTCTCCTTGGTTTTATGTTTCCCTATTGTTATGTGATTCTGTTGACGTGGATCTACTTGCTTCAAGATCTTCACTTTTCACCCTAACTGTTATGCAATCAGTGGATTAACAACCTGTTTTACTTGATTTCACACTTCCTGCATTCATCAATTCGTATCTACTTTCTCTAATGATTTGGATCGTGAATAACTTTGGATCTGATATTCATTGTACGTGATATACCTTCTCACCTTCTCTTCTGTGATTATAAGCATCAAATATTAGGACTGGATAATATGAAGTTGGTTACCGTCCTACAGAAGGTCAGTCGTGGCTCTTATAGTTCAGTGGTAACGTTTGTTACTGTAAAACTGAGTGACGCGGGTTCAATTCTCAGGCGGAACATCAGTTCCGACCCAACTAATTAGTGGAGAAGACACGGGTGACTTTAAAGATTACCCTAGCAACTATCGAATAACCAATTACGTCTTTTTATTTCATGAAAAACTGCTTTCCAAGCCAAAATACCTCGACCTGATTGGTTATTTCCACTGTTGCTAAGGTGACCTTTGGAGTCATTCGAAGGCACGATGGATGTATAAAAACGTATATTGGGTCAAGAAACCGTACACAAGAGCAGAGGAAAACATATCTAATGTAAAGATAGTTGACCGTCTAAAATAATGCAATTGGTTGGCTGATTCATCGTCAGTCTGTCTGTCTAACTGTAGACGTGATAGCGTAAGATACATTTTGATTGGTCCCTCTTTAGACTAGTCGTTTCTCTGTGTCCCCATATCCCTGCCTCTTTGAAAGAATGTTATTTGGGTCAGACTGGGCCACACTGTCGTTTTTCTGCACCTATCTGACCGATACGAAGGGAGTTTCTCTCTTATTACTGGGGGATCAGTAGTCTTCTCGATATTCTTTCGGCTGGCCGGTACGTGAGCATGAAAATCAGCTATGAAGCCAAGAGATTTACTTACCGATCAAGAATGGGATCTGCGGTGGTATCTGGAGGATGACCTATACACACGTCGTGTGTATTAGCGGCAAAAACCGTCCTTATGGCCCCCAGCATTACAGTCCCGGCATCGATGTGGTTTCTGTAAACGAAATACCAGGCACCACAATGCCAATAAGGCGATGCGGGGGAAGTCTTCGAGGGTCGGTTAGTATCGCATGAGTTACTGAGCCGATGAACAGATGGGATAACGCCGGAGGGTGATGCGGAGGAATGGGATGTCTGGCGAACTGTATGTGCTTTAGAACCACCCTGCCGACCAAATTGGACTAAACTCGTGTCATTCTGCAGGTTACCCTGTCGTTGGCATTCTGCGGACATGTCATTCAGTGTCTGAACTGCGGCTCCGAAAGTGTGATCACGTGGGTTCTACGGTGATATGTTGCAATATTAGTCGAGCTCAGGTAGACAAAGCTTTCGAATTAAGAGACGTACCTTCCAGGAATCATTTTGGCCAGTAACATCCACTTTGAAGTAATCTTCGTAACGCCTGAACCAAGTATTAGGATCGTAGTGAAATTCAGTGATGCTATTGGCGATGCCGTCTCAACTGGAGGAGCTATAAAAACTGGCATAGTACCAGTACCAGGAATTTTGAATTGCGTAAGTACCTCGATAATCTTCATTTGTTGCTCGAGCGTTTTGTTTAACTTCGAAGAGTCCATTTCCTAATATCCGATTCCCATCACCAACTGTTATGATTCGAAAACTGCTATGGTCGCTAACGATGCACGAATATTGATTGTCAGCCACCAATGTTTGACAGATTGCTAGTTGATTCCCAACTCGACTGAACTTATTAATGGAGAAGATAGGATGGACGTGTAGAAACGTATATTGGGGTCAAAAGGCCGAAGGTTAAAAACAAAGGGAAATATATCTTATATATATTAAATGGCTCACTGTTTAAAATAATCCCATTGATTGGCTTATCCATCATCTATCTGTCTGGCTAACTGTAGACGTGATAATATAAACTACATGACATGAGAAGACTTCAGGTGTTTGACCACCGTTCCCTTCGAAGTATAGGCCGTATTCTGTGGTGTCACCACGCGAATAATGCAGAAGTTAGGTGTAGAGTTTTAGGGAGAAGAGGTAAATCAGTTGACACGGTTGTGAACCATCATCGGCTAAGATGGTTGGGATACGTGTTACGCATGCGTACTTACCGTCTGCCTCGTCACACAATGTTGGCCGAAGTAGATTTAGGTCGGAAAAAAGGCTCGAGGTGGCCAGACTAGAACATGACACCAATGTATGAAGTCACTGACTGTTGGTTTGAGTCATGTGGGGTGATGCGGACTAGTCGGTTGGGTCCGCGGGACAAGAGGAACCGGTGGTTGTAGACTGTTGACTGAACTTTCTTTTCCTTATATTCCACTTCACTGACTTTCCACTTGATGTACTGATATGAGCTGTGGCAACTTCGACCGCTACGCAGTAATGTCTGGTCCTATATTGATGATGGTGATGATGAGACTACATTGTGATTGGTCCCTCTCCAGACGGGGAGGGTCGTGCCGCTGAGAAGTCCTACATTAGGACGAAACAGCTGTCCAATTCTTCTCCAACTGATGTCAGTCCATGATGAATGCCAACCTGCAATCAATAAATCCCCACAAACCACAAAATTTAACTTTTTTCTCTTTCCCCATGTGAATTTAATCTGTTCGTAGATTGAGTATATTGTTCTACACATGGTGTAGTGTTGATCATCTGATTCACTGTGATTGCACTCTTTCAAGTATAACTCTAGCTTTCGTTTTCTTCTCTCCCTTATCATAGATTGTGGATGGTGTTGTACAAAGCATAAAACTGATTACTGAGGGAGCAAGTCGTCGTATCGCCAAATTCGCCTTCAAATATGCTAAAGACAATGGTCGACGTAGTGTTACAGCTGTCCACAAAGCGAATATCATGTAAGTCTGGTTATTTTTGTGTGTTGAACGACAGACAAATTGCTACACTCAATGTCAGTACATTTATATGCGTAGGTCAACAAAAGGAAGGGGAAACAGATAGACAAAATCAGTGTAGAACCCCGCACATACACTTCACAGCATTGTACAGAGAACAAGTGCATAAATGCGTTATATCAAAGTAGACTATCTTATGGGATATAATAAATAATTTTAAGATAAAGGTTAGTGGAAAAATTCAAGCTTTAGAAGACGTCAAAGAGTGGTAAATACATCACCATTGTCATCGATTTTCAACTAGTGATTCTTATGGTATCGCGATTCTCAGCCAGGCAGTCTGCAACTTGCCTCACAGCTCAGACCAACAGTCAGTCAGGGACTTCACTGACTTATAGCATATTTTGGTCTGGCGACTTTGAACCCTCTCGTAACCTAATCTAACTTCCCCCAGCATGGGACGTGGAAGTGGGTGGTGCTCAGCATGCGTAACACATTTCGCCCCAGTCGATGTAGGTTCACAACCTCATCAGTTGACTAGCTGGCCTGTCTTGCCTAGTACTCTTCGCCTGACCTCAACATTGCTGACTCAGTGATTCCACCAAAGGTGAGCAAGGCTATGGAACCTACCTGTGATTAAAACCCTGTAGTCGCTTCATATCTTTTACTGGCCATGTCTCACAGGTGTATGAGAGGATAGAGCGAACTGTAGCAGCGCAGTATACTTGTTCTTTGATAGATCGTCGAATATCTCGCCGACTTTATTTGTTATGATGAAACCGTAGTAGAGGAGTTTGACATTATACGTACCCTGTTTATTAAGAATGGAGGTCTTTGTGATTTTGTGACCAAGCATATGAAGGAGACGAAAGCTCAGTTTAATGCCAGACAGTGAAGTAGTGGAATTGCCGACTACTGCAGTTACCTAGAGAGTTCCAGTCAAACTGAACGGGCTGGTTGCTGAAGGCCTGTTCGGCACTTGCCAACTTGCGTCATCTGTTGCGCCGACTGGCGAGATATCCGACTATCAGTTAAACGCTGAGTATACTGCGCTACCATAGTATGTTTTGTCCTCGTATGCAGTTGTGGGAGGTGGAGATAACAGTAGAGGATAGGAAACAGTTACCGGTGTTTAATCATAGGTCTCTTCATACCACTGCTCACATTTAGTGGGATTGCCGTTTGAGCTATGTTGAGGTCAGGCGAAAGGTACTAGGCAAGACAGGCCGGCAAAGGTAGATGGATAAGTTTATGAACTGAGATGGCTTGGACACGTAATGCGCATGTTGATTGGATTAGGTTTGAAGCAGGTTTAGGGTGGTGAGACCAAGATATAGACTGACTGTTTAGGGTCCTTAAGACCGCGAGAATCAGTTATTGAGGATTGTTGATGACATGACTGTAAATCGGTCACGATGGCACAGAGTTATTCAATCTTTGATATCAATACTTTTCTGTCCATCTGTTCCTTTTGTACAACTTTGAAGTCTGGCAAGTTGAGGTGAAGCACTTTTATCTGGAAGGTTCTATGATAATTTCGTCTGCCATTCAGTATAGAAGAATAGGGTATTTAAAAACGAAGTTGAATCAAGATATTCAGTCTTTAGAAGGTATCAAGGAGTGATTACTATCTGCGCCATTGTGGTTGATTTTCAGTGGTTTAGATGTTTATTGACGCATTCTTGGCCACCATGTACCGTCAAAGTACTATGCTAGCCGGAGTGGGATTAGTTTGGAGGAAGCTAAGGTTTGCCGCTGTGAAGCTTGACATCTATGGTATCTTTGAGAACTCGTCTAGGCCATGTACAGCTATGTAGGCTTCTAGGTTGGTGACTTTTAATGATATTTTAGGTTGGTAATCATCATGAACTGAGATCAGTTGGAGGGACTTTGGGGACCTGGGAACACTGGACAGTCGGCTGTTTCGTCCTAGTATGGGGCTCTTCAGCAGTACGCACCCGTAACCCCACTCTCCCAGGGATCGAAACCCGTGACCTACAGGTTCCATGGCTATCACGTTATCACTGAGCTTGTCACTTGGTCCGGAATCCATTGGTCCACATTTCCTACGTCTGTCAGTTCACGATATAGCGTGACCTACGTCCAATGTTGTCGTTGAGTAACTGTCTTCATGTTCATTTCGCTTGACTCCACTGGTTACGACTTGTCATTGAAACTTTGGGAATCACCTCTCGAAGCTAGTCACTAATAAGCGCTAGAATAATTCTACCTGGAGGTTTGTGGAGATTTATTAATTGATCTCGGGTTAGAATTCATTGGTGATATGGATAACAATTCATCGATTTCTTCGAGAATGTTGTGTTAAACACTTGCTATTCGCTGTCATCTTTCCTTCCTTTTATGGCTTTCAACAACTTTTGATGCATTCGTTGTTTCTCGACTTTCATCTTATCTCATTATTCTTTGTTGTGATAAATGGAACCGTCATATCGTAAAGGCTGACCACTTCAAAAGACTCAACCACCACCTGGAACTCGTCTGGGAACACCACCAGAATTATCAGTGAACACTAGGCCTCCGACAAAATCAGAGGTCCTGGACGCCTTAAAGTTACTAAAAACCGCGAAAGCGGCAGGATTAAATAGGATTCCTCCAGATGCACTGAAAACAAACGCGGAGACAACAGGGGACATACTGACACCACTGCTGCAGAAGGTTTGGAAAGAAGGAAGGAAAGATACCTGCCGATTACACAAAGGGCTGTCTTGTCAAACTCCGACAGAAGAGTGACCTAAGTCTTTGCGAGGAGTGGTGTAGGATCATGCTACTGTCCACCGCAAGCAAAATATTAAGCCGCATCATCCTGGAGAGATGGAATGACGCTCTAAATTCAAAATTACGACCGGAACAGGCTGACTGGCTTCAGGAAAAATAATTCATTTGCGGATCAAATTGCGACGCTGCACTACGCATCATCATAGGACAGAGCATAGAATGGCAAAATGGAAACTCTTTATCTCAACTTCAACAACTTTGAAAATGCCTTCGACAGAGTCGATCGAGAAGCAAATTGGCAGCTGCTTCAACACTACGGTCTTAGTGCCACAAACCTTTATCAACTTCATTGAACAGCAGCTATATACCATGTGATGCTGCATGCCATGTGGTTCACAATAGAAAGCTCAGTGATGTCTTTGAAGTGAAGACAGGTCAACAGGTAAGACAAGGATGCCGCCTACTATCACCGATGATCTTCCTCATTGTGGTCGACTGGATTGGACTTGACTGGTTTATGTAAGAAACTGTGAGGAGCTGTGAGAAGATGGGCATACACTGGTTGACCAATGAAAAGATCCTAGAAGATTTGGATTTCGCCCATGATGATTGATGTCTAATGTCGCATAAACTGGAATATCTACAGGCGAAAACTAACAAGTTGGCAGAAGAGGTGAGGCGAGGCAGTGAAGATAGGACTTCCTTCAGGTGAACGAAGAGAAGAAAGAAGTGATGAATATACCGAAACAACAATGACAACGAGAACAAGCACCACTCGCCATCAACCGGAGAAGTCTAAAGGAAGTTGTCTCTTTCACCTACCTTCCCAGGCACCATTGTCTCAACTACAGGCTACACAGACACAGATGAGGATGTGAAAGCCAGGATCGGAAAGACAGCAAGACAGGCCTTCATTAATCTGAAATAAGCGAGGAGGTCTACTGCACTCAGCATGTGGAACAAGGTCCGGATTTTCAACACTGAGTCAGTAAGTCAGTGCTTCTATGTGATGGTTAAGAGATTTGGCGCGTTACGAAAAGCATTTCCAATAAACTAGTGATATACATCAATAGCTGCCGCTTACGCTCGCTGGATATTTAAGATCCAGATGGTCAGAAAGAGAAGGGGCTCTGGCAATCAACCAACCAAGAAGCCGTTGCCCAACAAATATGCACAATGGAAATGGATACGGATTGGATTGGGCATACAGTGGGAAGACCGTTTTGGGGACAATATCATACTCCAAACCAGGCTGTCGAGTGGCACCCAAATGGGAAACGACTAGTCGGGCATCCGAGAGTGACATGGAGGAGATGATGTGAGGAAGAAATGAAAGCTTCTGGGAGTCGTGGAGCCAGGTTGAAAAGACTGGAGAGAAAGTAGTGAAATAGTGATGTGCCACTGAAGCCTTATGTTCCACTCGGAACCCAAGGGACAAATAATAAAATAAATAATCGTAAAGTAGTGTTCTTCTAAGTGGCATGTTGATATTGTCTGTCGCTCCGTCAACAGCTCAGTTCTATAACAAGATGTATACTTTTTTTCTCTTCTGTGAAGACTACACTAAGATTTCATCAAGTAATTTCAACGGGTTGTCATTAACAATGAACCATGTCATCTATCAGGTACAGAACTTTACTAACTAAACTAACTGACAAAATCTACGTAGAACCTCACACACAGGCTCGTCACCTCATGTTGCCGCATTTCACAGATGTACAAAAGGAACATTTGGATAGGTGAAAAGTTTTTAATCAAAGTAGACAAAGTTGTGAAAGAGAATAAACCACTTGACGATAAGGATTAGTGGGAAAATTCAAGCTTTAAAAGAGTTTATCTGTGCCACCGTGACCAGTTTTCTACTATGTCACTAAAAGTCTGCAACCACTGGTTCCTGTCATCTCGGGGGCATTAGTCAGACAGCCTAGAGCTCCCCCACACGACTCAGACGAACAGTCAACGACCTCATCGACTGATTCAACATCTTAGTCTGACCACTATTAACCCTCTCGCAATCTAATCTACCTTCTTTTACCAGCATGGCACGTCGGAATAGATAGATGATGGTAGCTCGGCATCTGCAGGTGACTATAAATCACTCTAATGATATCACGACTGACTGTTGGTGGTTACGGCTTAGGAAATTGTTTTATTGGGTTCATACCCACTTCATGATTGTTGAGTGTTTTCGAAATACTAGTTGACAGGTGGGGAAATAGATCCAGTTTTTGGGGATTTTTATTGTTTATTGTAATCAGTGTTGTTGATTGATTGTTTACAGCCTACAAAGTTTGTTTGTAAGTGAGTTTGTTGGTTTCAGTGCTAACGACTTTAATCGTCATCAGGTTTATTGAGAATTCTTCGTAATGCTTCTGAGCTGCCTTCCTTGTATGGTAACACAGATGAGGCTATGAATGCTCTCTATTAACCCTGACACCATTATTACTACTACTACGGATAGTAGATAGAAGTATTACGAATCATATTTATAAATTTGTGTGGGTGAATATTGAGAGGCAATGTATTCTTGATGTGTGTAATTTCCTGTCATAGATTTGCCGGTCTACTAGTAAGCTTACGAGTTGTCTAAATATTTAGCAGTGGTGTTAGGCGGAATAGGAAATCACTCAAAATCTCGACTTACTAACTCTTGTGAATTAAAGCACAGTATTAGACGGCATAAACTTAGATGATAGTGAAAAAATGGTTACTTTTGAAATAACTAGCCTTTACACAAATATTTCAGTTGGAGGAACAAAGGAAACTTGGGAGCACTGGACAGCTGTTTCGTCCTAGTATGGGACTCCTCAGCAGTGCGCACCCACGACCCCACCAGCAGGGATCGAACCCGCGACCTTCAGGTTCCGTGGTCAGCGCGTTACCATTGAGCCACTGGGTCAGAATCCAATGGTCCATATTTCCAACTTCTGTTAGCTCACGAATATACCGATCGACACGTAGCTCTGGAAACAGTTAAAAATGGGGTTAAGGAAGACAGCTTACTCAACGAACTAAGGTACCGATCGAGGAAATCATATTAGGAGTACGATTATGCTAACATTCACAGTTTTTAAGTTTCAAAATAAAATATATAAACAAGCTGAGGGTGTTAACATGGGATCATCTATATCCTCTATCATAGCAGACATATTTATAGATAGTTGGAAACAGATGGCCCTTCAAACATTTACTTCTACTCTAAAGATATGGGTCCGGTATGTAGATGATACATTTACAGTACTGAAATCGGAATACATCAATAGGTTTTCGACACATACATATTCAGTAGTGAATACAATCCATTTCACCAGTGACTTAAAAAGTAATAAAGGTGAGCTGACAACGTTGGATTGCAAGATTAAACGAACACAAAACGGTAGTCTAGAGACTAGTGTCGTCTACAGGAAACCTTCCCAATCGAATCTCAACTCAAACTTCAAATCCTCCCACCCCTTTTCAGTTAAACTAGGCTTAGTTAAATGTCTAAGTGTTGAGGCGGAAAAGCTCACTAGTAGACCGGCAAATCTATGACAGGAAATTACACACATCAAGAATACATTGCCTCTCAATATTCACCCACACAAATTTATAAATATGATTCGTAATACTTCTATCTACTATCCGTAGTAGTAGTAATAATGGTGTCAGGGTTAATAGAGAGCATTCATAGCCTCATCTGTGTTACCATACAAGGAAGGCAGCTCAGAAGCATTACGAAGAATTCTCAATAAATCTGATGACGATTAAAGTGGTCAGCATTGAAACCAACAAACTCACTTACAAACAAACTTTGTAGGCTAAAAGACGCTACAGATGAAATTCACCAAAATAATTTGGTTTACCAAATCCATTGCAATGATTACGAAGTCAAATACACAGGTGAAAGTAGTCGACCAAGGTCGATTAGGATTAGGATAACAGTGAACAAGAAGTTAGCTAAATCAAGATTAGTAGATCCTACTAATAAGATATGATGTTCAGAGAAAAGCTCGCCTATAGCTCTCTCTCTCTCTCTCTCCCTCCCTCTGTACGCAACTACACACAAACACACAGTAGAGTGGGATACAGTGACAGTATTGTGTTCTAACTTAGTTGTATGGAGTGAGGGAGAGATTGATAACCGACTGAATCGTTGCTTATCGAATCAACGCCAAACATATGCAAAACAGGAATGATTCTGCACGTGTCCCAGATATATGGAAAATTCTACTACAGAGAAGAAGAGAGAATTAGGAATATATAAACTCTGTCTTGAAGTTGTGGAGTTAGTTACCTGATATGAATGTGGACAATAAATTATGTCGGAAACGTCGTTATCCAGTAAATGATACTGTTCCTTTATTGTGTGATATTTCTTATAAATAGAGTATAATGGAATTAGAATCTACCACAGTGCCCATGTTATGCTCCTATATTAATAAAATAATGTAGTCTTTCAACTTCCATGCAATGATATAGTGAAGTCAAATAATACAGGTTGTATTTTGGTCTAACGGGATCATTTAGGTTATTGACATTGAGCCAAATGTAAAAGATGCTGTATATCACTCACTGTATGCTGATGGTACCAAGCAAAAAGCCACCGTAGTGCCTAAGTTCTACACTTTTAATAAATGTCTTTTCAATATTTTTTTTTTTCGTCAATATCTAAATATGCTTCATGAAGGCGAATGTCAGATGGTTTATTTCTTCGAGTCTGTCGTGAAGAAGCTAAAAATCATAGAGATATTGAATTCCAAGAAATGTTCTTGGATACTATGTGTTTAAATGTAAGTTGTCGTGTCAATTGAAGCATGTATATGTTATATACATTCTCTCAATAGCTGACATTATTAAACTCTTGCCTTTTTATTCGGTGATCATATAAGTTAGGCAACATTGAGTTAGATTCTCATCTGATGATGAATAGATCATCCATCCAAAAGAATACCTGAAAGAGATAGGTGTGATCTCATAGCCCATCGGATATCTGCTTGAGGCTTGTCACATTCAGCCTATTGTGTATGCTTGTTTCGAACTTTTGTTGTGTTTTGGGACCGGATTGTCGATAAGAAAGGCTAAATGAACCAACACCACCTGGCTGACATACCGTGGGGTATGGTGGAGTGCGTTGTTTTTGTGTCGACCTTTTCTAACCCCAACCCCCTCCACTGAGAAGGCAGCGTCAGCATGGCACTACTGGTCATGCAAGGGAAAAACGTTACTGCTGTCACACCCCATTCAGATAGCAGCAGTACGACTTCGCCCTCAGACCCCCGTCATAGTGTAGTAATTTACACCACAACGGTAACTGCTTTTCGTCTAACCACTATCCAACAGACCTTTCTGGTATACTAGGACCTCAAGGGAATAAATGCTTCACCAGCATAGCTTGTTGGGTTATTGTGATATCCAAGCCCGACCACCACTTCAATGTAACAGCTATCACTCGGAGATGATGATATATGAGTAAACATGTACCAGTTTCTCTATCATAATTTCTGCTTGAATACCATTGCTGATAAATTACGTCAACTCTCATAGACAAATACTGTAATATGTATTTCAATAGCAGCGTAGAGGTTTATACATTGAGCAATATAAACTATGGCTTAGACCTTATTATATGGGTTGGGGTTCTGACCCATAACCCTTACTGGATGGAAGTAGACTTCATATGAACCCAAGGGCTATGTACAGTACTATTTTCGTGGAAAGATAACGTATTATATAACGTTGGGAATGATTAACGATACACAGCTTCCATGATTATCTAGGTTGGTATTCATCACTGACTTATATCAGTTGGAGAAACTTTGGAAACCTGGGAGCACTGGACAGCCAGTTGTTTCGTCCTAGTATATGACTCCTCAGCAGTGTGCACTAACTACCCCGCCAGAGATGGAACCCACAATCTTCAGGTTCTGTGGCCAATAGGACGCTTCCATTAAGTCATTTGGTCGGAATCCAGTTGTCCATATTTCCAACTCCTATCAGTTCCCGACATAGCGCAGCCATCATCCAATGTAATGGTTGAGTATTTTTCCTCACCGCCACCAGGTTTGCCCCACCGGTGACGACTTCTCATTGGAACTTGAGGAATCATCTCTCTGAGCTAGTCACCAATGAGCACTAGATCAATTGAGTTTGGGGCTCAACTGTGCTCATACATGACCTCATCCCACTTTGGATCGAACCCATCCTCAAATGAGCGAGACGGCTGTTCGGTATTTAGATCACTATGATCTACTGATCAGTGTGAGTGACGGTCATGCTGTAGCTTCTTACTATTTTCTGCTTCTGAAAATTAAGGAATATTTTGTTTTGAATGTATCTTATTGAACTGTTTTTCTAATCCACTTACCTTTGCTTTATATCGTCATAATATGGTTTCATTAATTTTTGTGGCAAATATCTTGAAGCCCTTGCTGCGGTAGTAATAATAATGTATTGTTGAGATGAATGGGGATTTTTAATTTAGAGGTAATATTCATCATGGACTGACATCAGCTGGGGAACCATTGAAAATCTGGGAGCACTGGGCATCTGTTTCGTCCAACTAGTATGGGACTCTCAGCAGTACGCACCCACGACTCGACTAGGAATCGAACTCAGGACCTTCAGATTTCGCGGCGAACGCGTTAACCAGTAGTTTACAATTTCCAGCTTCTGTCAATTCACGACATAGCGTGACTGTCACCCAAAGTCTTCAGTCGGCATCCACTTCGCTTCCGACTGGTTGACCCCACAGGTTCACCGTGAAACCTGAAGGTCCTGAGTTAGATCCCTAGCCAGGTCGTAGGTGCATCCTACTGAGAAGTCCCATACTAGGACGAAACAGCTGTCGAGTGCTCCCAGGTTTCCAGTGGTTCCCCAAGTGATATCAGTCCATGATGTATACTGGATCGAAATGACTAAGCCTTGTTGGCATATCGGCTACCATCTCTGTGTGTGTGTGTGGATACTTCAGTATTGCCTAATGATTCGCTGTATCGTTGTTGTTGTTGTTATTATTATTATTATCTAAAGTAAAAGTTTTAACTTTGCTTCATTTATGATCAATGTGTATGTATGTGTTTCTAGCATTTATCATTCTCTTATACATTCTCATAAATCCCTCTTGTTTTATTTAGCTTGTTCAAGATCCTACACGTTTCGATGTATTGGTTATGCCAAATCTATATGGAGATATTTTAAGTGATTTAGCCGCTGGTTTAATTGGCGGTTTAGGCGTCACACCGAGTGGGAATATTGGTGAGACTGGCGCTATTTTCGAATCGGTAAGGAGCTTTTTCCCCTCTTTTTCTATAGTGATTTGAAGAATATTGTGAGATGTTAAGTAAACTGATGTTATTGACGGATCGTGGCTAGCAGTGGAGTCCAGGATGCGCATTTCGCCCTTTCTGGGGTCTTACTGGTCAGTTCGATGTACCTGCTTCCTAGTGAGTGACGTTGTTCCCACCGGGATTCGGACTCGGGAGCGGTCGCTTCAAACACCAGCGCGTTATCCACTACACCACCGAGCCACGATAGCCACTTCTTGTGCGACGGGTATAGTTTTTTTTTTAGTATAGTTGTTTTTATATGATACTGTCTTTGATCGGACAGAATTGATCGATCTCTATTGGCATATGGTGTCATACGGTATCATATAAAAACAATTATACAAAAAAAATCTGATGTTATGTTTCTGCTGAACTTCCAAGATTCAAGAAATCCTCGTACTCTATTGGCGTTTACCGTTATGGTAATCGCAGCATGATTCAGTTGGTTACTGAGAGTCAGTTGGTTTTAATCTTCTTTTTAGACGTTCATTTGATTTAATGAGCTGTTGTAAAATGGGACCAAAGAAGGTTTCTTCAGATCTGTGAAATACCAGACGTTGAATTAGCTAGCTGAATGACTTCAGCCTAAGTATCATCAAAGTCAGAGTAATTCAATATCACGATATATATATATATATATATATATATATATATATATTACCTTCATTCATAGTTGAACATTTTTATCACCCAGTTCATCTGTCAAATCCAAGATGTGATTGGTCTCATACTATTACCAGTTTAACGATAGGCAGTGAAGTGGTTGACTACTGACGAAGTCTCACTTGGGATACAGAGGGCTCGTTTTGCATCTACCAACCTGTTTCATATGTGGCTCTGACTGGTGAGGTATCCGATTATCCATAGAAGGACGGGTATACCGAGCTACTGCAATCCATTCTGCCACGTTTTACATCTATGAGACATTGGCGTTGACAGTAGAATCATTGTGTGAGGAATGTTGACCTCAGGCGAAGGGTACTATTCAAGACAAGCCGGCATGGCGATTGATGATGTTGTGAACCGTCATCGACTGAGATGGCTTGGACATGAGTTGTGCATGCCAAACCACCACCTACCTCGACGTACCATGCTGTGAGAAGTTGAATTAGGTTGGAACAAGACGTGGCACCTCTCAGTGAAGTCTCTGATCGTTGGTCTGAGCTGTGTAGAGTAGGTGAGTACTACTTTTTTGGAGTCTGCGAGAAGATACAAATCATTGGTTGAGAAGTCATGGAGGGATTTACTGGATAAAATTTTGGACATAATTTATCCTGTTTCACTATGTGAGACTAAACTAGAATTGCAATCTACAACATTGCCCAAGTTGTACTGTTATATTGATTTTATCTGTCCCATATATCGAAACTTATATATCGTATGACTATTTTTCCCTCAGCATGTGGTACATCACCACAGTCATTTCATAAGTGTTTTGTTGAAATGTTACTAAAACTATGATTTTGAAATGTTAATAAATTTCATGATATTTTATACGGCTTACAGGTACACGGTACTGCTCCAGATATTGCTGGTCAAGATCTTGCCAACCCAACTGCTTTACTATTTTCAGCTATTATGATGCTCCGTTACATGGGTTTAAATTCACATGCAGATTTGATTCAGTCTGCTGTGTTGGCTACAATTCGTGAAGCTAAAGTATGTCATTCCAATAATTATTTGAGATAATCATGCCTGCAATCAAAAAATCTCAAAAATTATTTTCTTTTCATGCGTCTACTTATTTCATTTTCAGTAGTCAGTAATTTATCGATATATTTTATCATTGCTATTATCATTGCAGTGTAATTTACACGTGCAAAACACATTCGAACATTGGAGTTATTCTTTTATTCACAAAGCATTTACGTCATATTTTATTAGGAGTTTAGCTTCATTTCTCGGTCATGCATTTAACAGCCTAAGACAGGATAGTTAGATTTTTATTTCATACAGTCTAGTCAGCGGAAATCGAAATACCTTCGACTATTTTGCGCTTTCTGTAATTAGACAAAAGTAATGTTTTCCTCAGTATTCATTCTGATGAGTTTGGATGATATAAGTGTTAAAACTGAGGTTGTTGCATTATTAGTGACATAATAGCTATTTTCATTTTGTTCAGGTCGTGGATGTATTGACCATGTGTTCACCCTCCATCCCTACATGTATTGCAGGCCAACAGTCGTTTTTCTTTACATTAGGGCTGCCTTCGACCCTTTGTAAAGAGTTGTGCCCTGGAATTATGTGTTAGACAAGGGTGTGCCTGAGAAGTTTATTCACATCCTGATGACCCTGTATAACACCTCAGGTAGAGTGAGGGCAACTACCATCTGTGTACATTGTTCCAAACCACCAATGAAGTTTGGCAGGGTTGCCCGATTTCCCAATTCCTCCTTAACTTTGCCATTGATGACATTCTTGAGACAGCTATGAAGAAAGTGCGTCATGGTGGTGTATACCTACTACTCAGAGAACGGCTATTCAACCTTGAATATGCGAATGATATCGTCTTACTGTGATAACACCCAGGCTGCTCAAGTCGCACTTCATCATTTGGCGATTAATGTCCATAAGTATGGTATGTACTTTGGGCCATTGAAGTGCGAAGTATTCTTGCGAAATTGGCAGGAGCCTGTGCCTAGGATAACCCTTGAGGGTGAGGCGTTTGAAGTAGTCAATAAATTCGTGTATCTGAGTAGTTGTATGAATGATGAAATCTTGAATCGTAAATCGAAAGCCAGAGTGGCATACGCCAATCTGGACCATTTTTTCTGCCATTGTGACGTTAGTCTAACCATGAAAGGTTGGGTTTAGTTCGCTTCGGTGTGATCTGTTGTGCTCTATGTCTGTGAAACCGTGCCTCTCCAAGCTGAGGATGTGTGATGAGTCTGTGTTCGATGAAAGTTATCTCCGTAGAATCGCTCACATCCGGTGGCAACACCATGTAAGTGAGTAATCCTGAGGTATGACAGAGTGTGTTTGGGCATAATGTGGAGATCGTCATTCAATAAGTGAAGTCATCTGGTCGTGTCTTATGTATGTCATCGCAACGGCTTTCGTACCATTCGCTGTTTGCTAGCCCTTTGACTGCATGGAAAAAGCGGAGATGTGGTCAGTGTATGACGTGGCACTGTGGGATGAAGGATGGTTGTATCAGGTTCATATATGTTGGTGGATCACGCAACTCACTGGCTACAGACGTCATGAGATATGGTTGAGAATCAAAACCAGCTGTGGTAATGCTGTAGCTTCATTCTATCCCGTGCTGCTGAAGAGTAATGAATATTTCTTTTTGAATGTACCTTACTGGACCGCCGTTCTAATCATATTATTCTTATTGTTTCTCATTTTAACTTATCCGTTTTCCTTCGATTTATGTCTTCATAACGCTGTTATATATTTTGTATAGTGTATCTCTTGGTTCTCTCGTTCTCTCGCTGTATCAAGTTCGTGTTCTATGCTGATTATTTTCGTAGTGAAAAGAGTACAAAATCTATTGGAGATATAATTGAAAAGAATCTAGGCATATGATATCATGTTTCATCTTATTATTCGTAGGGCAGTCAGTAATCATCTCAGTCGAGGTAGATTAAACTAACCGAATTTAGCCGGATTATATCTGGCAACGAACCAACCAAGAACCTATCGCTCAACAAATATGCAGAAGGAAGTGGAAATGGATTGGGCATGCACTGAGAAGACCATTCGGGGACATCATGCACCAGGCCTTTGGCTGTAACCTAAATGGGAAACGACTAGTTGGGCGTCTGAGGTGAGGGTGACATGGAGGAGATCGTGTGAGGAAGAAATGAGAACTTTTGGGCAAGCAGTTGTGTAGCCAGGTTCAAAAGATTGCAGAGAACAGAGTGCACTGGAGATGTGCTACTAAATCCCTATGTTCCATCAGGAACCCAAAGGACAAATAATATAATAATAATATCTGTCACAAGGATTTGAGTGTTTAGAAGAGTAGCGCATCTTAGCGTGCAGTAACTTACTTATATATTGGAAGCTTATACTGGATGTCATCAGTTAATTTATTTCATTTTCTCCACAGTCCAGTAGATGATATCAAATTTAATTCTCTTTAACACCGAGAACTTTTTTGTAACTTCACATCAAAGTTTCATCTCTTTGTCTTTCTTTCTTCACATAAACTCTGGTTCTTCAAAATGCTAAATTTAGGTCCCATTGTTTGGAATATCCATGTATGTATGTATATATGTAAATTTACTTGCTTATCGTAACAAAGGATATCAAGACTATATACAACTGAGGTGTCATTCGTTAAGTGAAATGTTATTTCATTCTTAGCCTTACAATCATCGATGTCATTGTAGTTTCGACGGTATGGAGTATAACCGCAAAGTAATCGACGTATAGTGGCGACTGTGAAGTTTTAAACGTAGAAGCTGAGTCAGTTAATAGAGTTCTGTTTCGCCGTCATTGTGCTGTGTCAGCTGGGTTAGAAAAAGTTACAGTATATGCCAGAAACTATAAATATATCAGTGTATCAAGTTGACCTGTGTGTATATGTGTGTATGTGTTGATCAAAGAAATGAAGACCTGGTCGAACTCTTAAGTTTCTGAAGCACCTTTCTATCTATCGTTGGTTATTAATATTTTCCTGTGGGCAACTTCAGTCACAATGCACTAACTTTGATAGTAATAATGGTTGGCAGTAGCTAATAGTGGAATTCAGCTTGACGCACTCGGCTCTTCAGCCGGGTGATGTTGTTCCTACTTAGACTTCAACCTGGGACCGATCGCTTCAAATACCATGGTGTTATCCACTCGGGCACATGAACCACTTCTTGTGTAACAAATATAATTTTAATGTTATTCCTTCTGTAAGCTTGTATGTGGATACGGTAACTCGGTGGCCTAGTGTAAGAGACTGTGGTATTCGAAGCGTTCGAACTCCAGTGGAAACAACATCGTTCCTTGGTAGGCAGTTACATCCGCTGGGGAGTCATTCCCAGTAGTACTGGATTCATTTGACTGCTAGTCGATATCCATCATTGGTATAAGAGATAATTATGCTGTTTTCAAACAAAAGGGTAAATAAATCGTTCAGAAACTTAAAGTCCCATCGATAAAGCAAGAGTCGGCTAAAATTGTATTCAGATGTGTAGAGAGAGAGTAGTAGTATTCTGTAATACAATATACAACGCTACGCATATTTATGCATATATGTACTTTTATACATATATCGAATTTATCTTTCCACTTAACGATTTAATGACTGATAGTAGTCCATTTGACGGATAGAAGCGAGTTTCGTCCTGTTTGAAACTGACTTATCCATTAGCTGGATGTACTTGCACCCCACCCCCACCTGAGATCGTTTGGGCAGCCAGATAGATTAGAATCAGCGTGGTGCATTGCATCGTATTACACCAAACAATAGAAAGCATTCACCTAATGATATTACGACTTGGCTGTTCAAACTACTTCGGTAGGTAGTTCGAATCCATGAGCCTAAATCAATTAACCATAGTGTAAAATTGTTCAGAGCACTTGAAACAAAGTTTTCAAGCTAAATAATAATAGTAATAATAATATCGTGGACCGAGGACCGACCTCCTGAAATACCAGAGCGTTATCTACTTGACCAATGAGTCACGATAGCCACTCCTTTTGTGATGGGTATAGTTTTTTATATGATTACTATCCATTAATACAGGTGAACCGAGACTACAGGCGATATCAAGGTATTCGGTGCTATCAACAATGGAAAATTATAGGCAATGACATAATATACTGACGTCGGGTATATTTTATGCTTGTATCTACTTTAAGAATGTGGATACCATTATATTAAGCATAATTTTCTAGGGTTCCATTTCCATTCAGCCTAATATTATTTGTGTACAGATATGTTTTTATCCAACTTATGATGTCAATCGAATGCCTTTCTAAATTTTCTGTTTCATATCCAACTAGTAGTAGTTTGTATGCGGAAAGAACAACAACTGATTGACAGACGAAATCAGCATTGAATCTTTCATACACACATCTACATCGGTTCAACTTGGCGTACTTCACTGTAGTACACAAAGAACAGATGGCTAGAAAAAAGCTCATAATAAAATAGACAAAGTTGTACGAGAGAATAAACGATTTGAGGGTAACGATTAATGCAAATATTCAAGGGTTAGATGTGAAGAAGTGAGAACATCTTGCGCTATTGTGATCGATTTTCAAGTTAGGATTCATTATGGACTGACTGATATCAGTTGGAGAGACATTGGAAACCTGGAAGTGCTGGACAGCCAACTGTTTCGTCCTGGTATGGGACTCCTCAGCAGTGCGCACCCATGACCCTGCTGTGCCAGGGTTCGAACCCAAGACCTACAGATTCTATGGCCAGCGCGCTACCCTTGGGCTAGTCACTGGGGTTGGAATCTAATGGTCTATATTCCCAACTTCTGTCAGTTCCCGACATGGCGCAACCATCACCCAATGTCATGGTTGAGTACTCAACGATATGGTTTTTATCGACTAGTACCACGTCATCGTCTGGCCACCCTGAACCCTCTTCCAACCTAATCCAACTTTCTTTAGCATGATACATCGAGGTAGGAGATGGTAGCTCGCCATTCGCTACACATATCCAAGCCACCTTAAAAAATCAAGTTTCGCAGCCCGATCAACCA